TGTATGTATGGACTGTGATAAGAATTGTACAAGCCCTCAATAAAATAATTTTTTAAAGAAAAGAGCAAGTGTCCTGTAGAGATCACCTAAAGAAACTGAAAAAATACATTTGTAAAATGGATTCTCTGGGTCCCAGTGGAGACTTGTCAAATCAGAATCTGGAGACATAATCACAGGTATCTATCCTTTTCTAGCTTTTTCATGAAGTCCTGATGGGAAGAAGAACTCAAAGATAGTCGGAGTGACTATGAACTAGATTAAGTGATATTTTTAGCTAAATCTTCATATGAAGGGGCTTCAAAAATTCATGGATAAGGAATTAAAAAATGTAATGCTTACAGGACTTTGGAAACCCCATCTTATTTCAACATTATAGTTGTTGCCTGCCATCCACCACCCCAGGGAGACAATCATCTCATCTTTGTCTCCAGGAGAAGCTGTGTAGACAGAAACTACCACCCTTTGGGTTAGCAGCTTAGAGCTGGACACTGCACTACCAGTATTCCTTGTTTCAGTATCATGTACAAATCATTTAGATATATCTTAAGGGGAAATAATGACTAAATTTCTGTTTGGCCTATAACAGTTCTTATCTTTTAGAATTTCAAAATGCTATATGATTTTTGTCTGGCAGAATTATTCCCTAATGTGTTTGTATTTCAAATGCAAGAAATGGACTAAAATGATGAAAGGCAACTCCTTCTTCACTTTCAATATGTTTTTTAAGAGTAGAAATATGGAAGCAGTTGACATTAAAAAACAGTCCATGTTGTTGCCAGGTGCCATTGAGTTGGTTCCGACCCATAGTGACCCTCTGCACAACAGAACCAAACACGGCCCGGTCCTGCGCCGACCTCACAATTGTGTCAGTCCATCTTGTGGAGACCCTTCCTCTTTTTCCTACCCTTCCACTTTACCAAACAGCATGTCCTCCTCCAGACCAGTCTTGCCTAATAATATATGTGACAAAATGTCTATCATCCTTACTTCTAAGGAGCATTCTGGCTGTACTTCTTCCAAGACAGATCTGTTTCTCTTTTGGCAGCCTGTGGTCCCTTCAGTATTCCTCACCAGCACCAGCATATAAATGCATTGATTCTTCATCAGTCGTCTTTTGTAACGTCCAACACATGCATGTGAGGCTATTGAAAATGCCATGGTTTGGGTCAGGTTCATCTTAGCCCTCAAAGTAACATGCTTGCTTTTCAACATTTGAAAGAGGTCTTGTGTGTCAAATGTTATTGAAGACTCCTATTATCTTTGTTTTAGCTTATATGTCCATTCTTGATTCCAATCTGGGTTAAGTGTTGGGAGGACGGAGTGGGGGGGTTGTGGATTTTACCTTTTGTCTCCAAGTTTCTGAAAGTAGGTCTTGGAATTCCTTAGCAATCTATGGAGGTAGGTTTATTGGGCCAACCTGGCCAATAAGAACATGTGGGATTAATAAGGTTGCAGTTTGATTGGAGGGCAAAGAGATAAATGGCTTGGGGAGCCCCACCTCTCTTTTGCTTTCTGGTGATCAGACCAGTATGCAGGTGCCTTAGCTGGTTCTCTGTCTCAACTTGTGAGCTACACTACCTGTGGGACACCCAACCCATTGATCATGTCACTAGAGTTTGAGGTTCCTTTGAGACCTGCTTTTCCATACTACTGGTGTATACATCACTTGAGTTGTCATCGGGCTGACTGTTGAAGACCCACCCTGCTGTTTGCTGCCTGTGGCTGGACTGCCTCCATTGCTCTATGGAAGACTCAGCTGTCTGCTTCCTTGACCTTGGACCCAGCAGCCCTCATGAGTTGAAGGACTTCCAGTATATTAACTGTTTCATGGAAGTGAGTTGAACTGAGCCCTTTGTACTGCTATGTGGACTATTTAGCTGTTGTATTCCTTTGTGCTCTATTGATATATCTATCTATAATCATGTGTTCTGGTTTTGTTTCTCTAGAGAACCCTGTCTAACACACAATCCAAGGTGTCATTGTGTGCACAGGAGACCATACATAATAAACTAATTTCATGAAATAGGAGAAAGGACACTGCATATTCAGTCATGCATCTTCAGTGAGCCAATCAAACATTAACTATGCAAAAACTATTATAAAGGCCATTTGTCCTAAGAGCTTCCTTTTTTGAGTGTCTGGATTGCTGATAAACTTTGGGAAGACCAGCACATCTCTGGGAACATGACTCTCCCCTGGGCACCTCTCTAGCTATTTCTTTTTATGATTATATAAAAAGTTATAGTGTGTAATAGCCTTTATTGAGTTTGGTGAGTACTGGAGACATTGTAGGCTAACTTTTGGACTGCTAACTGCAAGGTCATTGATTCAAACCCCTCAGTTCCTCTTAAGAGGGGAAATGAGGCCCATCTCCTCCCATAAAGATCTACACATTCAGAAACTCTCTGAGCATTTAGGACCCCTGTGAGTTGGAATTGCCAAGGCATTAGCCATTGTGGACCATAGCAAACTATCGAGAGCTTTGAGAAGATGAGAATTTTAAATACACAATTGTGTTCATGTGGTATCTGTACATGGATCAAGAGGCAGTTGAGTGAACAGGAAAAGGAAATATTTTGTGTCTTAAAATCAAGCAAGTTGTGTGAGTTAGTTTATTGTGCCAACCT